TCGTTGTTTTATTGAGAATATATAACCAGTTGTTTTTGTCATTCTTGTTGCACATTGCCAGAGAAACAATCCTTGACAACAATTTTGCGAATTCATTGCGAGGCAGTAGATATCGAATAAAAGACGTTTTATTCACTTTGGCAAACTAGTCTACATGATATCACAGAGTACACACGTACTAAACAAGAAATTCATTGAAATGTATATACATGCAACAGATACATTGTAGCCACAATCAAAATACATTTATATATATACTATTTATTTTACTTCTGCTACTACCAGAAACAAGACAAATCGCAAATAACATTAAAAATGTTATACTTCATGTTTACAAATCAATACATAATTTGCTAAAACCGACATCATGTACACACGCACGCATGCACATACACACACACGCACACATTTAGGTTTTGGGTTAGGGTTAGGGTTAGGTTTTTTTTTTAAGTGCCTAGTAGTCATATCCTAAGTGCCTAGTAGTCATATCATATCGCATCTATCTGCCGGGTGCTCTGTGAACGTTGTGCTGTAATATTTCGCCGTCTGTCAACGTTGTGCTGTAATATTTCGCCGTCTGTGAACGTTGTGCTGTAATATTTCGCCATCTGTCAACGTTGTGCTGCATGCACAGACATTTTTGTAAGCCCAATAATGTAAGTAGAAATAAGCATGTAATAATGAAGTTAAATGTCAATGTCAAGGTCAATCTCTTCTCTTATCTCTCTGCGTATTGAACAGTCGATACCACATGCATCACAGTCACTAAGCCCGCGCTTAGCGCGGGTTCCAGCTAGTAATAATAATAATAATAATAACAAAAATACTACTATGATAATTAGTGCACTATGGGTCAGTGTAGGTGTATAAGTATAAGATAGGCTATCAATATGAACTCTAGGAATAGCTCTTCTATATTTTACTAAATATTCATTTTACTATATTAATACAAATATATTATATTGGGGAAAGTGCCCGGAACATCAGAATGCCATCAGACTTGATCTTCAGGCTTACAGTTTCACCTGCAAAGTTAAAGAACTGGGTAAATAAACTAGATCTCAATGTACTATTACACACATATTTGACAAATTTAAGGAGGCATGTCCCGGATCTAACACTCTGCAAACTACTGGGCCCACTATACTCTTTGACTTAGTTGCTTTAGTTTATACCAATCAGAGCATGTCTGTCTACGGCAGGGACTGGTGTTAAGACTTGTTCATCAGCTCTTTCCACGAAAAACCCTTCTAACCGCTAAACAGCGAAACATGTCAGACCGGAAGTACCAAGAAGGATACTCCTCCTTTAAACTGCACGAGACACTTTAGCAATTATCCACATGCTGGAGGGTAGATTGTAAGAATTAATGCAAATATCCATTATTATGTTTGGTAGACATATTTCACTTGCCAAATAACATAGTAATATCCCCAATAGATGTCACTAGCTGCAATCTGCTTATGTGAGTGCTTATTATAGAGTTTTGTATTCATACAGCAGGACTGTCTGAATGTGGCAGAATCTAACACTAGTCAGTCCCTCTGGATTGTAATTATGTACGGAAACAATGATTAGGGATTAGGGTATTAAATGTTCAAGGTAATTTACTGCTCGTTTATTGAGTTACACTCGATAAATGGTCAAGCCTACTACGACGAGGAATTAACCTTATTTTCTTGGCGCTGTGATGCACCGCTCACCACAAGCCCTTGAAATAATATTATTTAATCCTCATTTTACATAATTATAAGAAAACAATTATTGCCTGGTTATCTCGGCAACATAAAGTTTTATGGACCTCAAAATTCAATGTTCAATTGCATGATATGGTTGGCAGCAAACAACAACAACGGTGATTTCTAGCATAGTGTCAACATAAAGAACTACTTACCTGCCGAGACAAAAATCACTGTCCCTCTCATGATCTGTATGCTCTCATCTCGCAGGGTAGGATTGCTTGCATCAGCACTGCCGTGGATTGTAAGGACAATGCTTGCACTGCCGCGTGCCTCAAGCTGGTACTCTCTTACATCAGACGGCAACTAGAAAATGTACAATGTAAAATATGCATTGAAGTAGATCTAGTCATTTTGCTAGTTTATACATTATTGATATAGATTTATTTTTTATTTCCACTCAAAAACTCATTCAGTTCAAAGCATTTGTTAAAAACACAGATAGCCAGTGTATCGATGAGTATATATAGAATATTTCTTTGTTTTACAGCTGCATTTACACAGCTCACTTACTTCGATTTTAGCTACAGCGAAATCCGGCACTGGGGGGTTGTATTCTTCCACATATGGATCAACACTGTGCCTCACACAATGAAACTTGTTATCTTCTATGCTTTTACACTGATAATCCAACATATCACAAAGAGTAGTGACATCAATAAACTTTGGAGTCAGACCAGCCCTAATAGTGTTGTCAGAACATGCCATGCACTCCATGCAGTCTGAAAGACAAGTTGAAAAACATATACATTTTCAAACAAACACGCACACATGCAAGCACGCACACAGATGTGGTAGGTTCACAGGATGTACAAACCTCCAGACAAACAAATAACTGGTTATTAGTAGGTATACCAACCTCAATATATGTGTGCGGTAAATTTAGTAGGTATATCACCTTCCCCTCAAGTAGCTGGGTGTCAGATTCAGTTGGTATGTCAACCTCAATATAGTTTAAGCATATTGCAGATTTAGTAGCAGAGTTACTAACCTCCATATAGGTATGCGTGTGGTACATTAGGCCCAAGGAACATAGCTTCACCAGGCTGCAGTTGCATATGGTTTAGATAATAGATGACAAAGCATCCGACATCGCCAGGAAACTGTTTGTAGATCCGCAGAAAGAGGTCCGTTAGTGGCTCTCTAGCTGTGGATGGTAAAAGAATTCTGTAGCAATACTCTAAAATATACATTGATATAACATACATTGTATAAAGCCAATATCTTTTAGGATGATCTTTACCAAGATTACTGCAAAATTATATTAGAATCTCTCAAAAGAGGAACAATATATAGTTCCCTTCTTCCAGAAGGAAGTTGTTTTTCTCTTAAACTCCCTATTTCTTAACCCCCCCCCCCAACCCTAAGCCTTAAGTTCAATGTGATAACCTCAGTTCTGTTTGAAATTGAAGTTTTTGCTAATACACATGCAATTACCAAAAGCCCATGTAGGCGATGAATGTGTTCACCTTAGCTAGACTTCGTTTCTTTTTTTTACAAATGCTGGCTTTCACTTACAACCATCCCCCACATCTAGTCTGCCTCTCAGCAATCGGAGTTGTTCTTCGACCATGATTTTTGGGCAGTTCATCAACGCCGTGAAGCAGATTTTCAACTGATTTGCAGCATCCTTCCCTAGCTTAATTGCCTCCAAAAATCTTGCAACATTGTCACTACCACTTACAACCGCCAGTTCACTGATATCTGCAAAAGCAACAAATATTTGCAAAAACTCTTTTAGTTAGTAGCAGTGAAATTAGCTCACCAATTCAGGACATTTGCTATTAGTAAGCACATGATTGTTTACAAACTTTGTGGGAACCTACAAATGAAGTCTATTAGGTGTTATTATAACTACATAAGCATCATATGCACTATATGTCACACGGTTACCTTTAAAATTCTTTGCAATTTCGCTGGCAGGTCGAAAACCACACATGCCTTCAAATGGTGTTAACGCAATGGCCATCTCAGGTTTGTGGTTAGCATCTGGGTAGTTCTTTGGATCATTCTTATGCAGCTCCTCTGCATGTTCCTGAAATATATGAATCAATTTAACCTGCACATTCTAGCATGTCTAATGTTATCAGTGCTGTGGTAAAATTCAAGCATGTTGCCTGATGTACAAGCTATCACAAACATTGGATCAATGCTGGATAGATAAATAGGGAAATATACAGATTACATCACTAGCCTTACTAAGAAACCCATTTAAGCTCAGTTACTGATAAAAAAACGAATTAAAAAAACAAGTAAATTTGCCCCAGTGAAATGATCCTAAATGCAGATATAGCCCAATATGATTTATATACATAGACACATATAAACATTTCCTCACATGCACAACCATATACAAAAATACACACATTGTATTATTTAGTTTCAAGTACCTTACTTGGGTGAGCTTGTATTGATAAAGAAATGTTTACGGATAGCACTTTGAGGAGAAAGGGCAATTCTCCACCAAACTTCTTTGCTACACCAGCACCTAAGCTCTCTGGATGCTCCCTGATCCAATCCTGAAGACTTGTTCCTGTGCCTGCTATTACAGATGGGCCCTTTTGATGAGTACCCATCCAAAGCTGTGGGTGAAAATTTGTATAGCATTAGATTATGTGAAATTATTGGTACCAATGAATTTTTTGTTTTATCTGCATAGACTGAAAAAAATATACATTTTACGTTCACATTCACATGATTACAATTCACTCCTATGTGTAGGGTTTTGCCTTAGATTTGCTATCAGAATTAAAGCAGTAATAAAAAACCACATGATTTACACACGCCAACTTTATTGGTACTTAGGTGTGACCTTAGGGCGTGTTTGTTTGGTCAGATCCACGAATCTCGATCCACTTGGTCGGATCCACGGATCTCGATCCACCGAACCCGACCCTGCTAGCGAGGTGGATTCGAATGGGATCTAATATGGCGGCCCACGCCTCAGCCAATCCCATGCAGCTTGTTCATTGTTATGAACCATCCCGTGATAGGTCACAGCGAAACGCAAATCGTTGAAAGTGAGTTTGCGTTTGTTTGGGTTATGGTTCGAACCAGTGGATCCGACCAAACAAACACGCCCTTAGATGTGATAACGCGGATCACGGTATTTACCTCAGCATAATTTTGCGTGTCTTCAATGGTAAAACTCTGATTGGCAGCATGTACTAATCTAGCAACATCACTCT